ATTTTATGAAAGTCTTTTAGTGACAAACACACTGAGGCGGTTGAAAGAAAATTAATTCTTATATATTTCAAGCTCCATCTTCTCAGGTCGTGTAAAAATCTGTGACGGTCGGGCTCTGATTTTCTTGAATTGTTTCTCTTCAGTATTGTGAAGCCTCGTGTTGCCACCATAGAGGAAATGGCCAAATTCCACACAGATTCCTACCTGGAACATCTTCATAAAATCAGCCAGGATGGAGACAACGATGACCCCCAGTCAGTCGACTACGGCCTGGGTGAGAAACACAGAGAGTCCCTCTTACTGTGTGTTGCTGGGATCATATCAGATTCAAATGTGCCATCCAGATGAAAGTGGTAGAAGGGATGGGTTTAGAATTCATGTGCAGTGCCTGTTTCTTGGCAGCAGGAGGCAGCATGACACTGGTTTAGAAACTACTTAAAATACTTAAAACTAAAAATATAATTTTCCCGTAACTTTGCTGTTTCTTTCCATGTTGTTTATTTTCTGCTTTTACTGAAACAAGCAACGCGTCTTTTAAAGATCTAACTTGAAGCTACACTGAGTGAGACGCTCTGAGAAAAGATCCTCTGTGGTTTGTTGGTCTTGGATTTTTCTCTCTCTGTCCAAAGTTTACATTTCTATCTTTAGAATCATCCTCCTTGTTTTTATTTCCTTGACTTGTTGCCTAACGCTGCCTCCCCTCTCCTCCCTCCTTCCCCTCTCCCTTCTCCCTCCGCTGCTTCGTCTTTACATCCTCGACTCATCCCTCATCCTGTCATCTTCCTCCCTTTGTATTCCGCACACCTCTCTCTGTCTCTCCGGTCCATCTCTTTCTCGTTACAAAAGCAAAAGGCTCCACCTATTCCCAGATTAAGATCTTTCTCTCTCTCTCTCCAGCTTCTCTTCAATTTATCTACTTCCACATGCCATTGTTTTCTCTTCTTCAGAGAAAACTTCTTCTTTTTTCTTTCTTTGTCTCATTCCTCAGACTCGTCCCATCAGGTTTTCCTTAACCTCTCTGTGAAGATAGGAATCAGCCGTTAGAAGGGCCGCCAGTGGAGAAATTAACTTTCAATCGAAGGCTAAAATCTTTCACAAAAAATCAACAAGGAATTCAAATATTTTTCTCAAATGCTGTCAGAGTTTTCTTGATCACTTTGTGATGAATTTATATTTAAATGCATGTTTTAGTAAATTTAAAAAATTGCCTTTACAATATCTAACTGATTTCAGACCAGCATTGTGGACATTTTTTTAAATATTTGTCATTTTGTGATGTTTCATTTCTTCTTTTAACCCCCGACCCCTCCTGTGTTACCCCAGGTTACGACTGTCCGGTGGTAGAGGGGATATTTGACTACGCAGCATCAATAGGGGGCGCCACGCTGACCGCAGCTCAGTGTCTGCTGGACCAAAAGTGTAAGGTGGCCATCAACTGGGCAGGGGGCTGGCACCACGCTAAGAAGTAAGGCAACACCTTCAGTCCACAGATACATCGTGTGCTACTACACACGGCATCAGCGTATGGTCATTCCTCTGCTCTGCGTTTTATGTATGTCTGGAATATTAGGATTGAATTTAGGCACCACCTGCCGTCCTGATTTGTTGCATCAAATAGAGACGATTTCTCTCTTTCCCTGTCTTTCTCCTGCAGGGACGAGGCGTCAGGCTTCTGTTACGTGAACGACGCCGTGTTGGGAATCCTCAAATTGAGGGAGAAATATGAGCGAGTCCTTTACGTTGATGTCGACCTGCATCACGGAGACGGTACACACCTCGCACACACAACGTCGTCTATCAACCACCGAACAGCATATTTCACTTTTTTTGATTAATGAGAACATTTCCTTTTCTTCTCCTCTCTCTGTAGGTGTGGAAGACGCCTTCAGCTTCACATCAAAAGTCATGACCGTGTCTCTGCACAAATTCTCCCCTGGATTCTTCCCAGGTTCGTCGTCGCAGATGTTGAACAGGAAAAACGTTTTCTCGTGACAAACTAAACTATTGAAAACAAATAGTGAAAAATAAACGTGTGTATGTTTAGGTACAGGTGACATGTGTGACACGGGACTGGGTAAAGGCCGCTGGTACGCTGTGAACGTCCCCCTGGAGGACGGCATCAAGGATGACAGATACTACCAGATCTTTACCAGGTACACACACACACACACACACACACACACACACACACACAGTAAAATATTGGGAATTCCCTGTGCAGCTCTGAGTCGACTTTGATGAATTGTTTTCCTCGAGGATCCCTGAGGAGACATCCTATTTTTCCTCCCCTCTCCCGACCGCAGCGCCCCTCCCTGGAAGTCAAAGGTCTGGGTCAGTTACAGACGCTCGCCTTGAAGCTGGTGCCATTTCAGGGTTTTTGCTCAAGGGCACTTCAGCAGGGGATTCCTTCCAACTTAGGTTTTCACAGCTGAAGTATTTCGTCCTTGGATGAACATTTTAAAACATATAAACCTTCAGCTGCTTCAAGTGAAAATCAGGATGAAGAAGCTTTTTCAGATTCCCATGAAAACTTCACAGTACGCACAGCACCACGTCCAGATTTGACTGATTTAAGTAGTAATCAGTAAATATAATCTGAGGCGTCACACGAGTATTTGTTTAATTTGTAGTTTCTGAAGCCGTAAAAAACTACATCTGTGCCAAAGAGAGAAGCCGTGGGTCAAACTGAGCTGGAGGAGGAGAAGCAGAAATGACTGTGATTGGCTGAGACACCTGTGGACGACAGACGAGCTCCTCAAAAGTGAAGCCAAGCGATCTTTAATCGCCCCCTGCTGGCTGGCTGCAGTATAAGTCACAAACCGTGTCTCCTTCCTCCTTTAGCTCAATGTTTGTCCAACGAGAGGAAGTGGAGACATGTTGTCCGACCTCTGATCGGTCGGGCCTGTGTGACGGTATCTGTGTTTACTGCCACCTTGTTTTCAGTGTGCTGCAGGAAGTGTGGGCACAGTTTAACCCCGAGGCGGTGGTGATGCAGCTGGGTGCCGACACGATGGCGGGCGACCCCATGTGTTCCTTCAACATGACCCCGGTGGGGGTGGGCAAGTGCCTGCAGTACGTCCTGCAGTGGCAGCTCCCCACGCTGCTGCTGGGCGGAGGTACGTGTGTGTTTATGTTATTGTGTGTGTGTATGCATAGGTGTACGCTCATGTGTGTGTTTGTCCCTGTATGTGACTGTATGCATGCATGTGGCGTTTTCATGAAAGGTAGATAATCATCTTTTATCTTTGTATTTGTTTGTTTTTGCTTTGAACGTCAGTGATTTACTCACTTATCCACAATTACAGACGCACATACAGTACACACACACACACACACACACACACACTCACACTCACACACACACACACACACAACTCACACTCTCACTCACACTCTCACACACACTCACACTCTCACACACACTCACACTCACACACACACACACACACCGTGCTCTGTTCCAGACCCCTCAGCCCTCGGCCAGATGATAGCGACTAATTATACGACACAATGAAGCCATTTTACTCAACTACAATCCCACCTCTCTTCCTTTCTCTCCCTCCCTCTCTGTCCTACATACTTTCTCTTCATTACATCCTCCTCTATTTTTTGGGTTTTATATCGCTCAAGTCCGTCCTCTTCGTCCTTCTCGCTTTCTATTCGTCTTTCCTGTGTGACAGTGTCGATACATTTTCAGATTCAGCCGTTTATTTCCACAGCTTCCAGTTTGTGGCGTTGAGTCTTGCAGCTCTTTTATTTTCCTGTAATGCATGAAAGTAAATCGTCCTCGTGAGTTTACGAGAAAACCAAAAGCTGCAGTGGCAGTGTTCAAACATTCCACTGTAGTTTCCTTTTAATACAAAACTACAGATTATTTTACAACGCAGCCTAAAACCAAAATATTCTGCCTTTTCTCTAAATCTTGGCAAATAAAATCAACCACAGAAAAGTTCCCTCCCTGAAGCACAACTTAAGTGTTTCATAATCGTAGAGCCAGAAGAAATCAGCATAAACAGAGGATATTGTATTAAAAACTACAATAAATCAAGAAGTTGATCTCATGGTTTTAAACCTCCCTGTCTCTGGGGGTAAAGCTGATTTTTTTGAACGTTGCTCTGTACATTAGGATTTTTGTTATGTTGTGTTTTAACCCCTTTGTCTGTTCGTTTGTTTGGATTATGCAAAAACCACGATATAGATTTCCAAGAAAGTTGGATCAAAGTTTAGTGCAGATCCAGACAATGGGGCGGATCCAGACATTTTCTATCACTTTATTGAAAATAATGAAATAGAGCAGGTTTTTTTTTTTTACATTTTCCTGAATTTCCCTTAAAAAAAGAATTCATCAGGCCTGTTTACAGGACTGATATCTACTCTGTGCAGTTTGGTGCAGCTTGATTTTGATTTAAAGGGACTGTTGTTGGGCAACAGAGTTTTTTTTATCAGCAGCATGAAGTATTCCTCGGAAAATTGCTGAAAATGTCCAAAATAAATAAATAAAATCTCACGATGTTGAAGAAGGATAGAAAAACATCTGCGCCAAAATGTCGAGTTCTTTCTTGGCCCTCGTCCCATCCCTCCAAGTTTTATGGAAATCTATTCTGTAGTGTAAAAACCAAACCTCTCTGTGAATTATACTTCACACGAGGTTCTACATTGTGCATAATCTGAATCAAAGCATATATTCCTCATTTAAACTACGTTTTGGAATATTTCTTTTATCCGTCTGACTTTTAAGAACTCCCCCCGGTGCTGTGATCAGGAGGTTTGGATTTCAGGAGGAATGAATGTGGGATGTTCAGTACCTGCAGCTTGTAACCACATAATAATGAACCTGTCTTAATCTTGACTTGACTCCCGTCTCCTCCTCCTCCTCTCTCTCACCAGGAGGTTATAACCTGGCTAACACGGCTCGCTGTTGGACGTATCTGACGGCGGCGGTTCTGGGAAAGACTCTTTCCTCCGAGATACCAGACCACGAGGTATGACAACACATTCTCTCTCTGTTATGGCCGCAGTCACAGACATTTACATATTCCCACATGAGCACAAATGTGCTCATTCATCGCACCGTCACATAAAAACACACACCCCCTTGTGCTCACCGTCTGCTGAGTCACTCCAGCTAATCAAGGATGACCGCCCACTTCTCAATAAAGGGGTTTGTTTCCAGGTGTGTGTGTACGTGTGTGTGT